TTATTATGGAAAAACACCCCGAGGGATCCCATTAACCAAAAACCAGCGGAGGACAATGAAATGAAATCCACAGCAACAACACACAGCAGGAAAAGTCCGGTTGTCAGCCAGGACAGCACGAGGGGGGCACGACCCTGTGGGATAATCCCAGGGAATGATCCCAGGAATGATCCCAGGGGATGATCCCAGGAATGATCCCAGGGGATGATCCCAGGGGATGATCCCAGGGGATGATCCCAGGAATGATCCCAGGGGATGATCCCAGGGAATGATCCCAGGGGATGATCCCGGGGATGATCCCAGGGGATGATCCCAGGGGATGATCCCAGGGATGATCCCGGGGATGATCCCAGGGGATGATCCCAGGGGATGCTCCCAGGGGATGATCCCAGGAATGATCCCAGGGGATGCTCCCAGGGGATGATCCCAGGAATGATCCCAGGGGATGATCCCAGGGGATGATCCCAGGGGATGATCCCAGGGGATGATCCCAGGGTCACTCCCCAGCCCAAGGGGACATGAGGGATGTACACAAGCTTTGAAGTCTTTGTCTTCCAGCTGTAGTTGTCTTCCAGCTGTAGTAACGGAGGAGGGGAAAAACCCAAACCAAACTAAACCAGAACCAGAGGAAGCCACGTGGATCAAGGCAAAAGGGGCAGCCGTGGTGGGGATGGAAAATCCTCCCTGCTCAGGAAGGATTTGGGCTCACCTGGGTCCATTCCCTGAGCCCCACATCTCCCAGGGAGCCCCTGAGCTGCCCTGGCAGTGGAGGACCCGAAGCAGGGTCACTAAAACTGTCCCCAGCTCTCTGTGCACCTCAGGAATCTGAATTCCAGCAGGAATCTGCAGAATTCCAGAGTTCTGCCCCAAAACCACAACGCACTGAGCATCCATCTCCTCCAGCCCTGCCGACAGCAGCGTCACCTCTGGATCATCCCACGGACACGCCCCGTGTCCCCAGTCCTGCTGGCACCCTGCCCTGTCCCCAAGACTGGCTGGGGACATTTCTCCTGCAGCATCCTCCCCCCTGCATGAGCCAGGCTTGGCTGGGCTTCCACCACCTTCAGGAAACACCTTGGAAATGTTTACTGGCTGTGCTCCCCCTCCCAGCTGCCAAAAAGGTCTCCAAGATCCAGTTCAGACCCCAAAATCTTGGGTTCCCATTAAAAAAAAGACAAAACCTTCCTCTAAACCCGAGTGCTGGCGGATGTGACACTCAGAAACTCATTTCTCCCAAGATTTTCGTTTGTTTGTTTGGATTTTAGATCTTCCTCCCAGGTGTCTGTCACCCAGATGTGACAATTAACAGTCTGCCAAAGATTTTTTTTTGGGGGGGGGAAAAAAGTGCAATTTTCTTTTCAGTGCTAGAGCAGGATTTAGTGCAATGAGAAAAGGTGAAGGCATCACCAGCTTGGTTATTTAGATATTCCTCAAAACGGTGATCACTCCAGCTCCAGCCTCGCTGTTTGAGCTGAAACTTCCCTGGAAAGAGCCAGCTTGGAAAATTTCCATTGAATTTTGAATTTTTGTCAGCCAGGAATTCCATTGAATTCCAGCCCATGGAATTTGTAGAAAAATATCTGATAATATTGAGCATCCTTCCTGCTCAGCCGTGGAGTGTCGTGCAAAATAAAAATAATAAAAAAAAAAAATAAAATAAATAAAATAGAGAGGAAAAGAAAAACTCACAAGGAAAAAATAATCTTTAAATTTTCCTCCTGAGTGTCTCCTTTGGGACAGGGCTTTGAGCAGAAATGTCAGGGTGATTTTCACACCAGTTTCTCTCTCCCATTGATTTCCCATCCTGTTTTTTTAATCAGAGATTTGCTTCTCTCACAGCATCGCTAACAGAGGTGTCTATTTTAGGAAACACCAGAGGTTTTTAAGGAGCTGAGGAGAAAAAGATTATGGGCTCAGCCTAGAAAGGGAGGAAAAAAAATCCTCTAATTGAAATCCCTAGGCTGAAATTCTCTGCACATTTACCTAAATGGACTTCAAATGTCCCTAAATATATCAGGGCCTGCTTTTAACTTAAATTCAAGCCCTGGGCGTGTGTCTGCAGCCCTTGGACAAGCTGGGCTTTGGATGCTCACTGAGATTATTAGTTTTAAGTGCTAAATCATGCAAGTGTCAAACCCAAATATTAAAAACCTGGGCCAACAATACACCAGCCCAAAGTTCCAAGCAGGAAATAGGATTTTTTTTTTTTTTTCTTTTCCTTTTTTAATATGTTAAGTGTTTCTTTTCTATTTTTCCCAAATTTAAGCTGGCAAAATCTTGGTGAAAGGACAGACACTGAGTGTTTTCTGGTTGGGAAGCAGCAGCTGGGGCTGTGAAGGAACAATTAATTCCAGTCAAAAAGGACAAAATTTTGTTTCAAAGCTGCTTGGAAGGTTTTTTTGGGCGCTCCCAACTTTCCAGTTCAACAGTTCAGCCTGGAACATTTGCTTGGGAAAGCCACAAGGCTCTGGGAGTGGCTTGGGGGATTTTAAATAAATAGATTAAACCTGCCTGGCACAAAGATTCCACACAAGGCAGAGCCATCCTCGAGGGATCTTTGCCCGAAGCGAGTGCTGGGAGGAACTGGGAAAACATCTCCTGGCACCGAGGAGCCCCACGAGGAACGGGGACAATGCCACAACACCTCCGTGGGCACCGAGGTGTCTCCTCCTCCAGGTGTTCCTCCTGTCTCCCTGCCCCTAACAGGGGGATGAGCTCCCACTCCCACAACAAACCCCCCCTGCACGAGCAGGGAGCGTGGCCCAGGGGGTGAGGTGGGTGCTGGAGGCTCTGGGATCTCCCCCAGCCCCACTATTTGCTGTTGGGGGTCTGCTGCTTCTCCCGCTTCTGCTTCTGGGCCACGCCGTAGGGGACGTGGGCGGCCACGGCGCCCATCTCCTGCGCTCCCTCCACGTGGAACATCTGGTCGTCGAAGAAGATGTGGGGCCGGATCTTCCTGAGCAGCGGCCCCTTGGGAGCCCCGGCCAGGAACAGAGCCTCGTCCGTCTCCAGGCCCCAGCTGCGCAGAGTCTTTAGGGCCCGCGCCCCCGAGCTGGCCGCGCTGCGCGCCGTCACCAGGTACGTGCGGATGGGGCACTCCAGCCGCAGCCCCTTGGAGTAGAACTTCTTCTGCAGCTTCCCCAGCGCCTCCAGGAAACCCTTCAGGGGGCCCTGGTGGAGAAAAGAAACCTTGCTGTCACCCTTTGGACCCCCACCTTGCTGTCACCCTTCGGACCCCCAAAAATGACCTCAAAGTCAGCGGCTCCACCTCGCAGCCGACTCTGGGAGCATCCCATGAGGGCTGCCTCTCTCCCAGAGCCTTTTCCTGCCTCCAGCCCGGCTCTACCTGTGCCAGGGGTTTGTTCTCGTGGGCCTTTTCGTGCTCGAAGAACATGTCCAGGCCGTGGGCCTTCACGATCTGCTCCGACTCATCCGAGAAGAGCACGGCGTCGCCGTCGAACGCCACCCGCAGCTGCTTCTCCGACACCTCCAGGTCCCTGCTGGGGCTGAAGATGGTGGCTGCAGCGATCCCTGAGGATGAGGCAAGAGGTGGAAGTCACCCAAGGATCATCCTGGTGGCTCAGCTGCTGAGGAGCAGAGCGAAAACACGACGGGCCGGGAGCAAAACGCCGCGAGGAAACAGCACCCCCAGCTCGGCCCCGAGAGCTCCCACGGCAAAAACAAACCCCCCCAGATGACAAATCACCCTTTGCATACAAGAATTAAGGAGGAAAAACACCGGCTTAGCCTCGGGAGAGCTGTGGAGCTGGAGGAAAGGCTCATTTCTATGGAAACTGGGGGCTCCTTGGAGCTTCGGAGATGTGGGGAAAGGCAAACCTTAAGCGCGTGTTGGTTTGGGGACACAGATTTTGGAGTTGTCCTTGCTGGGATCAACTCCCTGAGGGCTCCAGGCTCCCCCCGCTGCCCCCCCTGAGCTGGACCCCAGACTCACCCTCTTCAATGGCCCCACTCACTTTCTCGGCGTCGGAGGACAGGTAGAGGTTGGTGTGATAGGCCTTGAGGTAACAGATGGGGCTGTTCCCTCCCGTCATGCAGAACCTCTCGATGAACAGATCTGAGGGCAAGAGGGACCCCGGGGTGAGCCTGGCTGCCCCCCAAACCCAGCCTTGGAGCTGCGAGGACTGGGGTTAATCCAAGCTCAGCAGAGCCCCTCCCCGCCCGCCAATTCTTGCTCAACACCCAGAAAATCTGAGAGGAGCGGGGAAAATGGGAGAAGACATCTCCTCTTCTTGGTGCCAAGCAGTGACAACACCCAGAGGCCACCAAGGACAGCTTTGTCCCCGTCTCACCGTAGTGGTTGATGCTGTTGATCAAGCGAACCCCAACCTGGGCGTGGTTGTTGGTCATGAGGACGATGTCGAAGAGCTCCTCGCTGTCGGGGTAGAGCTCACGGAGCTGAGCATTCACCGCCTCCAGAGCCTGCAGCACCCCGGGGAGAGGGGCTGGGTGTCAGCCAGGCCCCCCAGCTGTGCTTCTGAGCCTCCTCCCACCCAGCAGAACACTCCTGGTCACCAAAATCCACAAATCTGGCCAGCCCCAGGTGTGGTCCTCACCCCCTCCCATCAATAAAACACTCCTGGTCACCAAAATCCACAAATCTGGCCAGCCCCAGGTGTGGTCCTCACCCCTCCCCATCAATAAAACACTCCTGGTCACCAAAATCCACAAATCTGGCCAGCCCCAGGGGTGGTCCTCACAACTTCCCACCCAGCAAAACACTCCTGGTCACCAAAATCCACAAATCTGGCCAGCCCCAGGGGTGGTCCTCACAACTTCCCATCAATAAAACACTCCTGGTCACCAAAATCCACAAATCTGGCCAGCCCCAGGTGTGGTCCTCACCCCTCCCCATCAATAAACCACTCCTGGTCACCAAAATCCACAAATCTAGCCCCAGGTGTGGTCCTCACAACTTCCCATCAATAAACCACTCCTGGTCACCCAAATCCCCACCTGAACCCTGAGCCAAGGTGGCATCAGCTGGGGAAAAACAGATTCACTTTTGGGTGGGGGGTGAAATTCCACCTAGCTACTCTTCTGTTTTCAAACACAAAAGGTTTGGAGCTATTAAATGAGGATAAATTAGCTCCAAGTGACAGATAATTGTTTTTCAAGCAATCAGAAACAAGTCTCACCCCACAGAACTGATTAATTTATTCATTGGGAACGGGCTCCAGCACCCAAAACTGCACTGACTGGTACAGGAGTTGGAAAATATTTTTTCAAGTTTGAAATGCTTCATTTCAACACGTCAGAATTAGAAATTGGCTGACTCTGGAGCAAGGCTAAACCCAGCCAAATTTACAAGAATAAATAAATTGTAATAATACTCATAATTAAAAAAAAAAAAAAGAAAAAAAGACAACTCCCTAAAAAGAAACTTTAAATGTGATCCAAGGAGATGATTTGTTCAATTCTTGAGCTCAAGATGGAAAATCCAGCCCTGGGAGCAGCACATCACTCGCTGGAGGAGGTTTATGTGCCCTCTGTTTGCTCCTGCCCCGCTGCTCGTGCCCGTCCTGCCCCCACACGAGCTCCATCCTCTCCCCAAAATTTTTGGGGACCATGTGGCGGTGGCTGCTGACCTTGACGAAGGGGAAGGCGGCCCCGGGGAGGAAGGGCTCGTTCTCGTGGTCCAGCTGATATTTCACGTAGGCCTCCACGCCCTGCTCCGTGTAGATCTTCTGCTCCTCCTCCATGCGGAACAGCGCCCGCGAGGACACCGCGATGGTGATGGCGTTCTCGGGTTTGGGCTGGGGGCAGAGGGATAAAATTAAAAATAAAAAATAAATCAATAAAAAATAAATAAATAAAAAATAAAATAAAATAAAAAAGGATGCTGCTCCCAGCCTGGGGTGGCATCTGTTCAGCCCCAACACGAAAGGCCACGAGGTGGGCGACGCCTCTGGAAGGATTTGGGGAGCGGCTGCGTGGCAGTGCTTCAACAGATGAAGCTCCAATGCTCCGTCCCCGCACATTTGGGACACCTCAGATCCCATTCCCAAGCCCTCCCGCTGCACACAGGCCCCCAGAACCCGTGCAGAGCCCAGGAGGAACGGCTGAAGGCCGTGCAGAAGGAATTTGCTTGGCTTTTCCCACCCCCCCAGCCAGGAAAGAGCGGGATCCGCGTCCCGTGACGCCGTCCAGATGTGACAAACAGCCCCGTGCCAGCTCAGCTCCTCCAAACGCTCCATGCACTTATTGTGGGTGGAAACGTGACAAACAGGTGGTGCAAGCAATGATTTATTACTCATTATTATTAATGTTTGAGGGCTGGATCCAAAAGCCAAATCCAAAACCTGCTCCAGCTGAAGGCGCCACCAGAGGGACTTGGCAGGGACAGAGGGGACAGAGGGAAAGTCGAGCTCATCTTGACCCCCACCCGTCCTCCCTCTCTCCCCTGGCAGGCCAGGGAGGGTGTTAATCCCCATCACTCAATTCCAAGCACAAAAATAAGTTAATTACTGATGGCCAGTGAGAAACCCTGGCTGCCAGGACAACAGATCCTCCAGAGGGACAGTGGCACAGGGAGTCCTGTCCCCTGCAGAGGAGCCCAGCTGGGCTGACAGGGCTTGGGGGCTCTCTGAGAAACCCTGGAACTGCAGGAACGCCTCACCCCCTGCTCCATGAGCAATCCTCTGCCATTTGCCCAGGGTGGAGGCTGCCTCCTCCAGCTGGTCCTCACGCCCAGCTGCTCCAAAGTTCAAGCTCCCACCCTGCCCGGGGCTGAACTTGCCAGGAGCAGCATCCTGGCAAGGCCCAGGTGCCCCATCCGCCTTGGGATTCGCTCCCCACAGGGCTGGGGAGCCCCGGGGCTCTCTGCCCCCAGCCCCACCCAGGAATGAGGCAGGGGGAGCCTCCTCCCCATTCCCAGCTCCAGCCCAGGCACCTCTCCATCCTCCCCAAACTCCCCCAAATCCCCTGCAAAGCGGTTAAAGAGAGGACCATGAGGACGAGACCCAGATTAGCTCAGGCTGAGATCTCTGCAGCCACAGGGATCCCTTTCCCACAGCATTTCCAGGGGAACCAGATCCCCTTTGGAAGTGGCTCTTTTAGGAAAACAGCTCCCAGGAGAGGCAGGACCCGATCCATGACAGCAGCTATTAACTGGTCACGGGCCAAGCCTTGGCACTTCAGCTCATTAATTAATAACTCTGGTGTCATGGGCCATTTATTAGCTGAAAATATTAATAACTCTGAAAGGTCTTGAGACATCCGGCCATTAGCTGGAGTCCTGCTGCTCCATCCTGCTCCCGAGCCCTTGCAGTGCTGGATAGCCAGGAAATCTTCCAGGTGTTTGCTCCCTGCTCCTGGACCAGGGTCAGCCCTGGAGGGAGATTCCCAGCAGAGAAAACAGGTCAGCAGCCCAGATGTCACAGCACCTGCAGGGGGGTGAGGAGGATGTTTGGGGCCACAAGCCAAGCCGGGTGCCCAGAGTGAATTTCCATCTCCCTCTCCCCTTGCGCAACAGCCCCGGCTGCTCAAGGTCCCTTCCTCGCCTCTGAAAGGCACCAGCCCTCCGGGAGGATCATTTAAGAGGCAATAAACACAGCAATAAAAATAACCCTCAGCTCCAGGCCTGACTCTGCCCCAGCATGGAGCCCCTGGGATCTGCCGGATCCTGCCCAGGAAGATTTGCACCTTTCGGGGCAGGAAAGTCTCACTGGGGTGCTCAGGCAGCTCCCAGCTCCGGCTGGGCTGGAAGGGCCCTGCTGTTCTCTGGGAAATGCTGACATTTGGAAAACCAGGCGAGGAGGGATCTGCGTTTTGACATTTCTCTGAAGTGGAGGTTTCGTTTGGAAGCGTTCCCTCCTCAAGGTTGTTTGGATGCCTCGCCGTCCCCGTTCCTGCTGCAGATGGTCATTACAGCGCTCGAAAATGAGCTTTAAAAACCCTCAGGAAGGCACAGCACCTCAAATCCTCTGTCTGAGCGCTGCAAACAACCCACCCAACCCCACTTTTCCCCCAGAAATTGCGGTGTTCCGAGGCAAACACTCTTTGGTGACTGAAATGTGTGCACGGGAGGGCTCCCACTCCCAGTCCTGGCTGGGATGGATTTGGTCCCGCAGCCCCCACCCCACCACAGCCCCCTGCTCTGGCTGCCCCAGCCCTGGAGGGTTTGGGCTGAATCACAAACTCTGTTTTTCCCCTCAGAGCAGCATCCAAGGTCAGCCAAGGGCAGTGAGAGCTGAGTCCGGGCTCTGCTGGAATCCAGCTGAATTTGCTGGGGATTCACGGTGGAAGGTCAGACCCAGCCCCCTCCTGAACCTCGAGCGTTAATGATGGGATAAAGAGGAGGATGAACAGAACCCATCCCAAGTCTGGCTCCATCCCCAGGGACAGCCAAACAGGAGGGATGACCAGGGATGACACCTCCTGACAGCCCAGCCCTCTGAAGAGGAGCACCAGCTCCTGGCACAGCTCCAGGAGCTCCACAAGGTCCAGGCCCCACCTCAGAAGTGTAAAAACACCTTTCCAGCAGGCTCCAGCTCCATGGAGTGCAAACCCAGAGCCCAAACCCCCAGGGGTAAAGGTTTATTCCAGGGGTGACTGGAAACAGCCCAATTTTCTCCCTCTGGATCCAACAGCTGGCAGCCTTTAAATCGCTTCTCTAATCAGATGTAAATCCTAAGCAGCCCCCCAAGGATTAGAGGCAGACATTTGGAAATCCCACAGGCTCCTGGGATGTGCAGAGGGGCAGGAGAGCCACAGATGCCACCCCTGGAGGCCACCACTGGCCACAGCCACGGTGGGGACCCCATTCTGCACCCCTTGGTTCTTCTGAGCTGCCTGGGGCTGGACCCAGCTCCATCCCAAAATCCTGCAGGGATTCTGGCAGCCCCAGGCACTTCCCTGGATGCTGCAGAAGACCAAATTCTTGTGATTAATTCGATATTCAGAGGTGGATTTTGGTCACAGAAAGGGAAGAGGAAGGGTTTGTTCCAGGGCCAAGCATTGCCCCCACTCCAGCTACACAGCAGAGACGGGTGGGTCCCAAAAGGGACGAGCAGGGTGCCCAAAGGAAGGCAGCCAGCAGAAAATCAGCTCTCACTGACCCCACTCAGCATCACCAGAGAGGCTGAGGAACATTTCCAGCATTGCTGAAGGGTGACAGGTCTCATTGCTGACCTCCCTGGCAGGAGCGAGGCCGGAGCAGCCGTGGGGAAGCAGGAATGTCCCGTTAACCCATTCCCAGGATTTCCCCAAAATCTCCTTTTCTCCTGTCACCTCGCAGCCCCCACAGCTCCCTCCTGCTCCTCCACGGGGACAGACAGACCCAGCTCCCCCAGGGATGACACCAAACCCCGTTTCCCGAAGGAGCCTCGGGCACCGCTGCTGGGGATCAGATTAAAGTTCAGGGTGACGGCCGGGCTGGTTTGGAGTTTTCCAAGAACATTATTTATACTGCGGAAAAGCGCCCTGCAGCCATCCATCACAGGCTGGCAGCTGCCTGGCTGGGTGAGGGCAGCTGGGGCAGCCCCAGAAGAGGGGCACAGCGCCTGGCATCATCCCCAGCCCCACGGAGAGAGCCCAGCTCCGGGATGGGAGCGCCTGGAGCTCGGTTTGCAAAGCGCATCGCCGCCCCCGTGCCTCAGTTTCCCCACTTAGAGCAGGGATGGGTCGCTGGGCAGCGAGGAGAGGAAGAGGAAGAGGAGGAGGAGCCCGGGCCCACATCCATGAGCAAAGCATGGCATGAAAGACAAGCGGCTGCATCCTGCCACCAAGCCAGGC